TAAACCTTAATAACTTCAGTGTCTTTGCAAAAAAAATTCTTAATACATTAATCTGGCCTAAAAAAATCCTTACTGAGCAATCAGATTGATTTTATTTTCAGCACTTTTGTTTTTTAAGCAAAAGAAAAACAAACATTATGCCACAAAGTAAATAAGAAAATATTTTTATATTTTGGGAGTTGAATGTTGTTTTCCTAACAGCACATTAAGCAGGAGCCGTGGCTCAATGGAATCCAGCTCTACAATTTCAGAGGTGTCACTTGGAGACAATCCCTTAATCTTCAGGCCTGGGGTCCTTGGAGCCACAGGGCTCTGAAATCCCACCACAGTGTCCACTGTGCCTCTTTTGTTTCTCTACAGTCTTCATGGGCAAAGAGTTCCCTTCTTATCAAGGCTCTCAATATATTCCAGGCTAAAGATATGCTGGAGCTTCACATTTTCGGTATCTGCTTTTTCCTCAGGATAGAGTAATTTCCTTTTCTGCTCTCAATTTAAAAATGAAAATGTCTTTATCCAGGCATGGTGGCTGGCCGATCTACTTGGGGACTTTAGAGCTCTAACATTCTTCCTCATAACTGGGCAGTGTTTTATCTAACTCATCTGTTGCAAGATATTTAGATGGCTTCCAAACCTTACTCCTCTAGCAATGGACTCATACCCTTATGTACCTATTATGTGGTACATGGATGTGTAGGTCTAAAGGGAAATACTGATGAGTAGAATTGCTGGGCCAAAGGATATAAGAGTTTATAAATTTGATAGTATGTCAGGTGTGGTGGCACACCCCTGTAGTCCCAGATACTCAGGAGGCCAAGGCAGAGGGATCACTTGAGCCCAGAAGTTCAAGGTCAGCCTGAGCAACCGATTGAGACCCTGCTTTGAAAAACAATTCATGTCTTCCACAAAAGTTGCGCCAATTCACACCCTTTGACTGTATAAGAATGGCTCTTCTTTCTTCCATACACCCTTGCCTGATGGTTGAAAAAAGTGCTTCCCAGTGTGTTTTTAACATGCATTTCACTTACTGTGCCTGCGGTGATCAGTTGTGGATGTGTGAAGCACTTGAGCCATGTGACTTTCCTGGGGACCATCCCTGACTGTGGCTCATCTTCCCATGACATCCCTGGCCTTCTTCTTACTGGTGTAGAGGAGTTCCACAGGAAATTAGTCTTTTGTGACACAGGTTGCAAATATTTTTTGCCCCTGCTTTGCCCTTCCTTGTCTTTTTCTTATTTTGCCAAGAGGAAATGGTGTATGATTATGTAATTGCCTTTCCCTATCTCTTCTTTTATGGTGTTTGGAGACTGAGCTCCTAGGTAGGCCGGCTCCATTCCAAGATTATAAATTGCATGTGTTTTTCTCCATCGTTGTGGTTTTATTTTTTAATTTAAGTCTTTGAATCATCTGGGATTTGTCTTCACACAGGAGTGAGATTCACTTGTGTTTCTTCCAGCTGGCGACCCAGCTGTCCCAACACCATGATGCACTTCTCCTGCAGACCCGACAAGCCTCCAGATACTTCAAGTGTCTATTTTAATACCCATCTTAACCATCTGAAGCAATTTTTCCTGTTCCTATTGGTATTTCTGACTTGTAGTCCGTTTCCCTAGCCATTGTTCTTCAACTTCTCTCCGATTGTTTTGCCTGAAGAAATACAGATATCTTGTTCTTCATTATCCACAGGGGACCCTCGAGGATACCAAATTCTCCAGGTGCTAAAGTCCCTTCTATAAAATGATACAGTATTTGCATAAAACTTACACATATCCTTCTGTGTACTTAAATCACCTGTATACTTAAATCAGATTACTTATGATACCTACAGTACAAATGCCATGTAAGTAGTGCTGTTTTATTGATTAGGGAATAATGACAAGAAAAAGGTCTGTATATGGTCAGCACAGATGCAATTTTTTTCAAGTACTTTTGACCTGCAGTTGGTTGGATCTGTGCAGAACCTGCAGATAGGTGGGAGAGTGCGTGACCTTTGAATGTAGTTAATGGTCCTGCAGGGGAGCCTTGGACACTCCACTAAGAAGCCATGCTCGTACCTTTTCAAACCCTCATGCAGAAGAGGCTCATGGGCCTCACCTTCTTGTCTTTCCATTGACCCAATGGGGTGGAAAGCGGTAATGGGGGAGGGGACAGAGAGGTGAACTCCTGGCAGGAAAGCAGGGCTGGCTTTTAGGGCCAGCAGTTAGGAGCCCTGGCTAGCACCAGCCCCTGAACACAGTCTTTCCTCCTGAGGTAGAAGCCACTGCCCTCTTTGGTCACAGGGAGCAGTGTCATCACTGTTGCTAAACAATGTGACAAATGCACATGATGCCACCTGATGTGGCTACTGCTCCTGTTCCCAGGACCACCCAGCCCTGACATTCTACACAGGACCGATCAGAGCAGCCTCACCAGGGGCCCTCAAGCCTGCAGATGACCTTGCCCACAGCAGAACACCAAGGCTACAAACTCGTGATTTGCCCTATAGCCCTACTCTCGCTCCTAAGCTCCTAAACTTCCATGCCCATGACCATGCCAACTGTCACCTGCACACCCCTCAAGCACGTGAAACTCAACAGGCCCAATACAAGCTCCTTGCTTTCTCTAAAACATCTGCTCTTCATACTACCAACGATCTAGGCCAGAAACATGGAAGATGAGCACACAAGAGGACCTGAGACTCACTGCACAGCCCCTTGAGCCCAGCCCAACATCCATTCACCTGGGAGACTTCTGCGATCGGGTAGAGGGATGCAGAAACAGTAGCTTCTGCGCAGAGAAAGAAGCCACACTGTCATCTGGAGAGATCTCCCTTTAAACATCTTTACATTTCAAAGCCACAGCCATGACTGCAGGGTGGAGAGAGAGGATAATTGCTGACCCACTCTGCTGGGTCTTCGGAATGGTGGGAAGTGAGAGGACAGGCAAGACAACGAGGCCACGTGAACAATGGTCCAAGGTGGTGCCCTGGAAGCATCCGATGAAGAGCAGGCTGAGGTAGAAGGGGTGGAGGATACGAGAGCTCAGTCTGCACAGCAGGCAGGTGGAGGGATGCCAGAATGTTAGCTTCCCTGGGCAAAAGTAAACCCTCTTCCACCAAGCAGCCGGTGGAGGGACGGGGGAAGCCCAGGTTGTGTTTTAGGTAAATCATCACATTTTGTGTGGACTGAAGCCTTGATCCAGGACACATTTCCTAGCCCTCCTTTGCCCGCACCCCATCCTGAATCCGTCACCCATGAAACCCAGGATTTTCTTTCCTTCTTTAATTAACCTCTCTCATGTGTACCCTGGCCTCGGTTTCTCCCTCCCACTGCCTGGGTTGGGACTCTCATTGCCTTGGCTGGAAGCACGGTGGTGTCTATCCCACATCCCCTTCATCGGTCACTAGGACACTGGCTACTCCGGTTTGGACCCTAGGCATCCCCGTCACGTCCACGTGGTAAAGGCTTGCTGGGACCTCCCTGGAGGCTGTCATTGGGAGTGTGCAGTCCCTGGGGACTGAGACTCCAGTCCCTTCTCTTTTCACTTCAGCTTTTCAGTTAGAGAGCGAGTGGTTTTGTTCTGCCACCCCACTAACACCCCCCCTAAAGGCAATGGGTCTGCATGATCATGCACCGGACCTCTCAAACTGTGAGTCAAACAAGCCTTTCCTCTTTATACACTGATCACCCCAGGTATTTGTTTACAGCCATGGAAAGCTGACAAACTCTCCTTCCTAGAACATGAAGTAGTTTCATGGCTTCCTTGATGAAAACCATCCTACCAGGCTAAGACTGCTGCTCAGCGAAAGCGCGTGTGGCCCCTGAATTCTGTCCCCAGGATGGGAGGGGAATCGTGATGGGTGAGTCTAAGTGTTGAGCACGACTTGCTCACAAGGCCCCATCAGGTCCCTGCTCCCACTCCAGCGTCCACAGCACACACTCAAACCCCTTTCAAGCTGACAGCTCTTTGTGGGGGCTCCCGGGTGTTCCTTCTGCTGGCTGCCAACTGTCCTTCCTCTGAGCCCTCTTCCACAGGCCACCCTCCTCCTCCACGGACCACCCTCATCCTGGGACTGCTCCTGCCTTCTGCCAGACTGCGAGCTGTCCTCTGAGGGCAGGGGACCGTCGCCAGCGCCTGCACAGGCCATGCTGGCTGCACGCACTGCACAGTCCCATTTTCTGGCTTCCCGTTTGGCTGCTCCTTCTTTCTTCTGAAATCACCTCCTGAGCAGGCCAATCTTAGGATTTCACCCATTCTCCATGTCTTTTGAACATCCAATATCATGTGCATCCTCCTAAATCCAGCCCACACCAGCTTTTCCCACCTTTTGTTTTTTGAGACAAGGTCTCCCTAGGATAGTCCAGGCTGGCTTTGAACTCAAGATCCTCCTGTCTCCAGAGTGCTGGGATTAGAGGCCTGCCGTACCACCTCAGGTTCCCTGTAAATTGTCATACGCTGGAAGCCCTTCCCATCGTGTCCAATTCTACCCTTAAAGGTTTCTTTCCCAGTCAGCCCCACTGCTCCCCAAGAGTTGCTTGCCCAGCAGCCTCCAGCCAGCACAGCTCTCAAGACATGTCTACACTCTTACACCTTCGGAACTGCCACTGGCCTCCCGTGCACAACTCCACAGGAATCAATAAAGGATCACTTGGCCTCGGGAGCCATGCGTACCGTACCTGGCAAAGATAACTGACGCGTAGGGGGCATGGGAGGGTAAACAAGGACACGCAGGATTCCTTCAAGGGAAGTGGAACAGCTCCCAGTGGCGTTGCGCCATCTGCCCTGCATCTTCTCGCCCAGGTGCCCGCGCCCAGGTGCTCGCCATGCCCCACCCCACCCCTGCCGACCTGGCCTGACCCTACCCGACCTACCTCACTCAGCTCTGCCAGGTTTTACCCTGGCCCTCCCCTCGGCCCAGTCCTACCCTTGGCCCCGCCCCCACCCCGTCCCACCCTCCGGTCAGGCCTTCGACCCCGCCCAGGCCTTCGACCCCGCCCCGCCCCGCCCCGCCCCGCCCGGCTCACCTGTAGGCCCAGGGCGAGACGCTGCGCAGGTTGGCGGGCGGCCGGAAGCGGCGGTCGGCGGGCCTGCCCCCTGCCGGGCAGCTCGCATTGCGCGCCTGCTCGCGGGGGCCCAGCTGCAAGGTGTGGTGGAAGGCGCTGAGCACGCCGGCCGCCAGCCTCCCGTACAGCTGCTCCAGGAGCTCCTCGGGTCGGTCCGCGCAGCCCCGCTGCCGCGCCGGGCGCCTGCCCGCCCTAACCGCGGCGCGGCCCGGCGTTAGCGCCAGCAGAAGGCCTGCCACGAGCATCCAGACCTGCGGGACAGGCCGCGCCGCAGAACGTAAGCCCCCGAGCATGGGCGCAGTGCGCACCGGTCCCCGAGCGCCCTCGCCGCCTGCTCGCCGCCCGCGGGGCCCCCGAGGTCCCGCTCACCGCCGGCCCGCACGCCCTCGACCCCCGCCACCGCCGCCGCCCCGAGCCCGGGGCCGCGCGGGGGTCGGGTGCGGGGGGCGCGTGCACGTGTGCGTGTGCCTGCCGGGCTGCTGCGCGGCGGGCTGCGAGTGCCCGTGATGCCGCCGCCCACAGGGGTCCCGGCGCCACCGCCCGGCCCGCCGCGCTCGGACCCGCGCCTGCCCCGCCTCGCAGCCTGCCGCCCGCCGCACCCTCGCGGCTTCTCCGAATGCAGCCGGGTGCACGAACGCCGAGCAGCTCTGTGCCCCGTGCCTCCAGAAGCGCCCCCGTGGACTGCACTCACCAGTGTTCCCAACATCTCCCGACAGCCTTTTCAGATCTGGTAAGAGGTGTGTTGAGCGGACCTTTAGCTGAATAAACAAAAGGGCCGCACCACCGAGGACTGCTGGGTGCTCTGGTCGGGCCGGAGCTGGCAACCCGGCTGTGCGCGCCGACCGTGCGATCCCCACTGGCGGAAGGAGGAGGTGGTAACTGGCCGGAGGTCTCCACAGCGCACAGCTGGGGCCGACAGGATGAAGTTAGTGGAGGCAGAGTTTGGCTCAGGAAGAGGATTTCTCAAGGAACGAAAGCAATCCAAGAATAGAATACACCAGCTGGAAAAAGATTACACTCAAAACCTAGAAGGATTCGCCTTCTTAGGGCTACTTCCTGAGTTCCCTTGTTTTGAAGAAATATATTAGAGATTTTTCAAGTCTCTTTTTTTAATAAGGCGAGAGGAGGCTAAACACCTAAACACCTGTAAAATGATCCTGTGCCTATCAAGCCCTAAACGCAAAGCACTAAATACTTCCCCCAGCTTTTGTGGCTGTAAATGGCATCATTTGGTCTGTTATTGCAATGTTGGAGAAATCTTACCCCATGATCACGAAATTGTAAGTGTACCCATCATGTAATATGAGCCTAATATTCTGTGAATAAAAAAATATATACTGAAATAAAGGACTATATTATACTTCAAGAACAAAAGAAAACTTGTTCGTGTGTTCATTTACAAATAAATGCTTAATGCTTTCTAGGTGGCAGCTAATGAATATGATTGTGTTAAAGTAGTCATGCTTTAAAAATGAAAACAAATGATCAATACCAGCTGAAAGTGTGCAAACACATGACTGAATAATTTTCAGCTTTGGCATTTGACTAAATTGTAAACCATTGGTTAAACTACATTTCATTTATGCTATTTAGAAAAATACTTTCATATGCCTTAATCTAACCGAAGAGTTTAGTAATTGCTGTTTTTGTTGTTAAAAATCCCTCTAGAATCTCCACTTAAAGCAATTTATAGCTCTTGGTGAGTTAACATTTATTTTGGGTTATAAAACACTTTGACTGGCAAATAAATGTTCTTTGTTTCCAGTAAAATGGGAATAAAGGCATCAACACTCAAATACTGCTTATTTTCTATTTGAAAAAAAAAGCTGTGGGAGTCTTAAGAGAGTCTTTAGGAAAGAGAGTTCCTTGGGACTGTTCACTCTGTCTCATCCTTTTATACGTATGATCACACAGTACTGAATTCTTAGTTTTATTATTCAATAGAATATTTTCTGCTGTCTGATAAAATGACAACTTCTCGCTTCTTGATTACCTTGGAAATGGAAAACATTTGCTTTCCAATAGTTTTTATCTTGACCACAAATACTGAAAATGCTCACCTAGTTGTTAGAACATAAAATTCATCTGTGAGACTAAACAATAGTCTTATAAACAAAGGCAATATTTCAGGTGTTTATTGTATAATGAATTCTGTAAATGTCAGCATTTATGAAGATGTAAAATGCACTTGTTAATAATGAGTCCAAATTGAATACATTCAAATGGAAAAAAGGCTACACTCAAATTCATGTTCCCTTAGAAATTGTATGCAGGGTTCTTTACTGTATGTGTTTTCATTAGTGTAGTCGTACAAACTTGATTTACATTCTCTCTGGTTCTTTTCCTTCATCATCTGGTTTACTCAGCCACCCAGGACCAGCACAGCTGCAAGGCTCACCATGAACCAATCTGTCAGGAAGTCTTTTAAACCATTCTTAGGCACCATGATCCCAAAAGCCAATGTGTGGTTGACTACTCCCATGCTTACCTTCTTGAGTTACTGATGTAAGTTCCCAAACCTTTGTATCTCCTGAGGATTGTCCTCAGATGTTCCCACCTGGAGCTCTGATTGCTGTCATCTTCCTGGCCATTCCTTTATTCACAGATAATTTTAGCATCTGGGCCCACCACTATTGCTGTTTATCATTCCCAGAACCTTTCAACTTCACACAGATGGTTTCTAAATGTCCACTTTAGCTTCAATCATCCTTTTTTCCGTCATACCAAATATCAAACCATATGGTTATATCCAAGGCATTATCACCAGCAGTCTCAACATGTCCCAATAGCTATATTCAGACGTCCTAACAGATACATTCTTCTCCACTCCCACAATTCTCTGACTTCATATAGTCTTCTCATCCTACCATTTTCACAATTACTGCGTTTCACCAGCGCTGTAGATGGAACCCAGGACCTTGTGCATGCCAGGCAAGTGCTCTACTACCAAGCTGCACCCTTTGCCCTACCATTTCACATCTGAGCCCTTGCTCCATTTTTACTCTGCTCTGCTTGCCTGAAATAACACAAAAAAATCATACAATTAAACTGACGAGACTCAATTATAATTTTCAACAACAAACTTCAGATTAGCATTTGCTATAGTTTGGATAAGTGTCCCTCCAAAGATCCACATGTCAAAGGCTTGCTTTTCAGTCTATGGCACTATTGGGAAGCCTTGGAACTTTTTTTTTTTTTGGTACAGGGATCAAACTCAGGACCTTGTGCTTGTGAGGCAGGTGGCAGAACCACTGAGCTAAATCCCCAGCCCAGCCTTGGAACTTTTAAGAGGTGGGGCCTAGGGAGAGGAAGTTAGGTTATTGGGAATGTACTCTTAAAGGGGATTGTGAGATGCTGGTCTCTCCTTTTCTCTCTGCTTTCAGGCTGACATGAGGGAAACAGCCTTCCTCTGCCACATGCTCTCACCATAATGTATTGTGCTGCCACAGTCTTAAACCAATAAACAGAGCCAAGTAACTGGATTGAACCTCTGAAACTGTGAACCAAGTTAAACCTTTTCTCAGGTTATTTCAGGGTATTTTGTCACAGTAACAGAAAGCTGACTAACACTGCAATCAATATAGTATCCTATTAGCTTTCCCAGCTCTATTCATTTTTTCCAAGACCACTAATTTTCATCTCTTTCCTCTTCTCAGATGCTTCCTTACACATTCCATAGAGACATATTCCATAGACATACATGAGAGCTATTACATTTGTTTTCCATCATCAGCTTTGCAATCAAGCTCATATATGCCACCTTCTTTCCTGATACATTTGAAGAACACTTTTTTGACTCCAGGTCTCTCTACCTACCATCTAATTTCTCTGCTCCCCTTCACAGCAAAGCATCCTGAATTGTCTTTATTCTGTGGTCTCAAAACCTCAATTCCCATTCTCTCAGCTACTCCAATTGAGTATTTATCGTAATACTTCATTCCAGTGACTTTTAACACGTTCATAATAATAATACTATAATATTGCCAAAGCCAAGTTTCTTTATCTTACTAGATTTTTTTCTACCTCTTTTGACACACTTGGTCACTCCTTTTTTTTTTTTGTATTGGGGATAGAACTCCGGACCCTGTGCTTGCAAGGCAGGTGGCAGAACCTCTGAGCTAAACCCCTGGCCCCTTTCATTCTTTTCAATTACTGTTTGCTTAGTATATCTTTCTCACCCCTTTTTCTCAACCTGTCTCTCTGTATCCTTACATGTAAAGTATGTCTCTTATAAGTAACATGGTTGAGTTTTATTTTTTTAATAGTCTGATAATCTTTGTCATTTAATTGAAAAAATTTACCCTATTTACACTTATTCGCTAATTACTAATATAATCAGCACTTACTACTTATGTAAATCCTAATATAATTTTGTTTACTATTTTATAATTACTATTATGGTTTGGATATTTTATTGATCAGATTTCTTATTACTGAAACCCAGTACCCAAGAGTCACAACTTGAAGAAGTGTTTATCTCACAATTTAAGGAGATTCAGTCCATAGTCAGCTGGCTCCAAGGCAGGAACATCATGCCAGAAGGGCATGGTGGAACAAGGCTGCTTAATTCATGGTGTCTGGGGAAGAGAGCAAGGAGCGGCCCCAAAGAGAAATGGGCTAGGGATCATGTGTACTACCCAAAGCCATGCCTCCATGACCTACCCAGACACACTCAGGAGAATGCTCTACTAATCTGCTAGGTGTTTCTTGATCCAGTGAAGTTGACATATCAGGATTAATGGTCACAATTCATCCCTTTCAACTTCACTTCAAAACATCTCTTCAAATCATAATTAATCTGCAAATAAAGACAATGACAAGTTCATGATTTCCCAACTGAAACATCTTGAGCCTGACCTTTATTGTCTGCCTTCCTATCAGCATTGCGGTCTTCTGACTTCTAACCAGAATCTCCTATCAAGTTCAGCTTACAACATTCTAGGGCTTCAGTAGCCAGCATCTTCAAACCTTTCCAAACTCCTCCTACAAACCAGTTCCAAAGGCTTCTGTGATGGCTTGTGTTTAGATGTCTGCCCAAAGCCTCATGCAGTCTTAGGTGGGGCTGTTTCAAAGGTGGCTGAATCTAGAGTATATGATTGATTCATGGTGCAATGCTAGGCTGGAGAGTACTAGGATTAAGGTTGTGAGTGCTATTCCTCCTAAGTAGTCTGAATAAAATAAAAGGGGCAGAAAGATGCTTGTTGGTTCCCTTGTTGCTTTTGCTGTCTACCACCACCATGAACTGTTGCCCCTCTGCCACCCTGCCTTGGAGTCAGCTGATTATGGACTGAAACTTCTACAAACTGTAAGCCAAATAAACACTTCCCCCTTTAACTTTGGGTGTTGAGTATTTTGTCTCTGCAATAAGAGAAGAGTAAC